ACCTTCTGTGTATCCTTTCAGAATGTATGTCCTAGGCTGAGCCTAGGACATATAGATTCTGATCAAACCTCTTTGATGATCGTGTCAGCAGCCATTCTCTGCATTTTTGCCTTGATTGATGGCGCGAACGTGTCCAAGTGTCCAAGTTTTTGATGAAGGTTCTTAGGTCCACCCCCTTGGATGACGTCAGCGGCTATTCCCTGCACTTTCGCGTGTGATTGATGGCGCGAACGTGTCCAAGTGTCCGAGTTTTTGATGAAGGTTCTCGGATCCACCCCCTTGGATGACGTCAGCAGCCATTCCCTGCATTTTCGCCTGTGATTGATGACGCAAACGTGTTCAAATGTCCGAGTTCTTGGTGAGCGTTCTGAGATCGACCCCTTCGGATGACATCAGCAGCCATTTTCCGCACTTCCGCCTGTGATTGATGGTGCGAAGGTGTCCGAGTGTCTGAGTTTTTGATGAACGTTTTTAAGTCGACCCTTCTGATGACGTCAGCAAAACTTCCACCAATATTCCACTGTGACTGATGGTGCGAACGTGTCTGAGTGCCCCAGTTTCCTGCTCGCCTTTCCCGTCGTTGCTTTGGAATGACGTTACCATCCCCGACCCGTTTATCTGCTGCAACAAATGATCATGCTCTTTATGCTCTGATTGATGGAAACTAAGTTATTCATCATGAATCCTTTAAAACAGAAGGCTACTCAAGTCTTGAATCCAATTGAGAAGACTCACGTGCTTTTCGTCCCGTTCCCCATGCAGGGAATGGCAAGGGGGTCTGCAAGCAGATGCTGAAGACCACGCTGGGCAAATACTACGGCGTCATGTCCAAGGACGCCGTGGTCAAGGCCCCCGGACAACGCCCGCCGGTCAAGGGCGCTGCCACGCGCTACCTCTCCGAGCTCCAGGGGAAACGGGTGGCCGTGACGGACGAGACGAGCCCGGGCGAGCACGTCGACCTGGGGGACGTGCTCAAGATGACCGGCGGGGGCATGGTCGCCTCCCGGCTCCTCTTCCAGAACAACGTCTCCTTCCGATTCACCCACACGCCCTTCATCCAGACCAACTACGACCCCGAAATCCCCCCAAAACTGGCCAAGCAGCCAAACATCAACCGCCGCCTCATCGTGGTTTGCTCCTCAAACGAGTACGTGTCCGAGAACAAGTTTGACGAGACCAACCCGAACCACAGGCACGTGGACATCGGGTTGAAGGACCGGATGGAGAGTCTGGCGGTCCGCGAGGAGTTCCTCACGTTCCTCGTGCAGGGAAGTCGGGCCTGGTACGAGGACCCCACGGTCTTGCGCAGGCATCCGCCGGCCGTCCAGGCGGCCTCGATGGCATGGCTGCGGCGCGAAGACAAGCTGCAGATCTTCTTGCAGTCGGAGCACTGCGTGCACGACCCGCCGGAGACGCTCGACAATGCCAAGAAGGTCACATGCCGGGAGGACGAGTTCTGGACGCAGTTCCAGAGATTCACAGGGGTCAAAATTGCCAAGGAGGAGTTGGCTAGGCAGATGCGAGAGAAGGGTTTCGCAAGAACGAAGCGAGCCGGGCGTTATGACGGGTCATCCCAGCGGAGCTCGTGCTATGTAGGATTCAAGTGCGAGTACGATTGATGATTGACGCCCGCCTATGGAGTCCATTTTCTTTGTTGTAAAATCTTGCTTCAATGGTCAGAGCGCAGGACATGTACAAATAGCCCACGGAATAACGGAGTAAAGTAGAAGCAAAGGCAACCGTAGGCTAGGCCTACGGTTGCACAAACAAGGAAAAGATAAAATTAAACAAATGTCAAAACAAGTCCAAAGGTATTCGTGAATTCTTTTGAAGGCTGCTGAAGAAGCGAAGTAGCATACATGCATAACATAGCATGTGTCATCAACCATCTATCTACCCAACGTTCCACTGGACATTTGATATCTTTGCGCCATTGACGACAGTGCATAATTGGTAGTATGGTTGCTGACGTCATCAAGCATGCTCAATCTCAAAAGGTGCTCCAAGAACTCGGACACTCGAACACCTTTGCGCTGTCGATTACAATGGTTCATTGGTGGCATGGTTGCTGACGTCATCTAGCATGCTCAATCTCGAAAGGTGTTCCAAGAACTCGGACACTCGGACACCTTCGCGCCATTGATTACAGCGGATCATTGGTGGCATGATTGCTGACGTCATCAAGCATACTCAATCTCAAAAGGTGTTCCAAGAACTCGGACACTCGGACACCTTCGCGCCAGTGATTACAGTGGATTATTGGCGGCATGGTTGCTAACGTCATTAAGCATGCTCGATCTCAAAAGGTGCTCCAAGAACTCGGACACTCGGACACCTTCGCGCCATTGATTACAGTGGATTATA